GCTGCGTTCGAACGGAGTGTGTTCTTAGCTAATTAATTGCCATTAGTTACGAATTGGACTGATGCCTTTTAGTTGTGTAGTGTGCGAATTCCTTTATTTTACACTGATATTGCTTTATTTACGCCATTGGTGATGAAACTGCAGGAGATTTATTTTCACAGGCTCAAACCCTGTGTGGGCCTTAAAACATTTTATTGAGTTAATTTCTGTGTAGTGCTTTCACGTACCACAGACGTGATGTGATAGTATTTTACGACTTTAATTTACTTTATGATTATAGGAATATTAGTTTTCCAAATGTGGCATCCCGTCTTTGCAACCAGCCTTTCACTGGACCTATCAAAGGATTATTTTTTATATTTAGTTGCGAAGAGAGGCGACAAGTTCGCTGTTGGAATTTTGTCCATTCGCAGAAGTGTTGTGTTCTTGTACCGAAAAGTTATGTGCATGTTTGGATGTCATAATCGTATGCATCAGGCTTTTCCCTAATAGCTGCTGAAAAGTTTGTATAGTACTCTGGCCCAAACTGTGCGTATCGCGTACATCGCTGGCTTGCAGGTAGAAGGAAAACAAACTCAAATACTTTGTCAGCCAAAGACATCGACACACGAACTGAGGTTGAGCTATGAAGTACTGCCGCTGGGAAATTATGTTTCTAGTATGGACAGTAAATGTTTCCTTACCTGCTGTCCTCCCAACCCCTCAGTTCCGTTGCCGTTTACTTCTAACGAATGTTGAACCCACAGATTCACTTCATATCGAGCAATGCACGCGTTTCTGTCATGTCGCTAAACTGATGTAACTATGTTGTTTTTAAAATGCTTGTATTCCAATTTTTGTGCTTATAAATGTTTTTAGTAGTAAGCTGACCAAAATTTTCACTTTCCTTGTTAGCTCTTCCGTATTTCGTAAAACATGAAATATAAAACTGAATGTGTTTAATGCCTGAACAGAGAGGCATTCTTGGTTTATTGCACGAGATTCTTGTTGTGGGCATTCGTCGGTGTCTGGTAGTTTTTAGTGTACACGATACTCCATCAGATAACATGAATATGTATTGGCTCCGACTGAAACAGCAGGTACTTTGCTCGAGGGTAAATCGGCTGGGACGTGAAGCAGTTCACCCATCTTTTGCTGTCGTATCCTTGGCAGTGGGCGCGGCACATAACTTATGTTGCCTTGATACATTATTCCTTTTCGGTTTGGAATGTTGTGTGCATGACTGTCGCCATAAATATTCAGGGTATGTTTTGAAATTGACTTTGAAGTCATAATTCCTTCCATTCAAACAGCTTCACTGCTTGGATTCTTCTGCGCAAAGCAGAGGGATTATTTTTTGCCAGACGGTCAAATTTACTTCGTATAGCAGACGTTTTGTGAACCTAATAGTCGTTCACCAGGTAAAGAAATTTGCGTTTAAATGGAACCAGTGGTTCACTGCCGTTTCTACAGGAATCCGTCACCAGCCCCTGCCCTGAGCCAGATGAATGCAGTTCTCCACCCTTCTGCACTGTTTATACGATCCATTTTAATAACATCCTATTTGCTTTACTGACGTCCGAGTGGTCATTTTACTTTTTCGGGAAGAAATTGTGTACGCGTTTTTATTTTCTCCCGTATGTTCTACATGTCATCGTCTTGTTTGATTATTCTGATTGTATTTTTGAAGGGTATATAATATCTAAATCTTCCCTTTTTATATCCAGCCTTCCCTTCCCCATGTATCGAATTTGCATCTCGGTTGTTTCGTTCCGTTTTGCGAAATGCAGCCAATCTGTTTCTGTTCATATTTTGAATACGTGACTCGGTTCTCTCAGTCCGCAGTTAAGAAACGTTGATTTCTTGGTCTTGCTTCGTACGTAAACTGATGGTCAGTCAGCATGTTGCTTTGTTAGGCGCAGTGCAGGAGAATGACAATTTCGTTTCATCCGTAATTGCTCATACAGTATAAGCTATTCTTTCCGGTCAGATCTGTTAACAGTAGTTTTGTGGTACATAGATGGGTTTCTTCTTCGTCTGCCTCCCAATGGTATGCTGCCAATTTGTTAACAAGGGGCTAGCACCAGCAAGCTATATTTTCTTTTTCGTTTCATATGGAAGTAGGGACGAGCAAGATGTATCGATATATTGATACTGGTGTATGGCCTGTATAACCTTATATTTTTAAGATAACGAAAGACTCGAGGGGCTCGTACACAATATGACGCTGAACGAAAGTGATATTGAGCTTATTTGCACTTTCAACATCGCACCTTCCAGTTCTCCAGTAAGAGGTATAGTGTTTTAATTTATCAATCCGTCCCAATGAGGGGCAGCCCAAGGCTTGTCGTGAAGGAATTGCCTAAACCTTATTGTCGGTTATCTGTTTTCTGTACAGTCTTTCCGAAAACATTAGAGCAGCCTAGGACCAAACGAAGATAAATAACTTTTTCCGATAATATTTAGGAATTTTATAAACATTCATGTCAGTATTGTGGATAATTTATAAATCAGCGCAGAAAAATATAGTTTCTATTCGTTGATTTATTAAACACCCTCCGATATACAACGCCACTGTTTTACTGTACGGCTGAAATATTTTTCTACTTCCTGCATAGGCCATTTGTGTAAATTCAATTTACCTTTGAATTGGATATCCAAGGTTGCAATCTCACGTTTATTCTCACGTCAGTTTTTTAAATTAGATTTGCTAATTAAAATTCTACCTGTCACTAGTAATTTTGTCCAGTGTTTGTTTCATTGAGTGTGATAAAGACGCATATTGAATGATGTTCCTAGTGAAATACGAATTAGGAAAAATTCAGTTGTTTACCATGAATTATTGTGAGAGTGAACTCCACGTCAGAATTTAATTCAAAATGTTCTAGACTGGAATCCTGCTCTAGGATTTTCATGTAAAATTCTTATCGTACTGAGGTCGTTGGGTAACACCAGTTTGGTTATGAAACAATTTCATGTTGCTGCATGTAGCAGAGGTAGTCATTATATAAACGCTAAAAGAACATGTCCAGATATTCAGACAGCCTTTGATGAATGTTGAAGGCTCGCGCTCTGTTGCGTTGGCACTAATACGAATTCCGACCTTAACTGCGTGTTTATTTACGCTTCGTTGCCACGTTTGTACACTTTCGGCATTCATACAGAACTTCAAAGAGTTCTTTTGATAAACGTGTATTGGCAGAGTGCTTCACTGTAACTAACAATTATATCATATTGACTCATTATTATCATAAATGTATTAATGGATATTTCTGATCTTTAGTGCATTTATTACCCCTTTCATATGGTTCAATATTAGCTTCATATCGTTTGACAGTGCCACTAGGCCTGCGTGGGCTTTTCTAGGGAGTGAAGCAGTGAATAGATAAAGAGTTTGTGGAATCACACCTCCTCACCCTCATATGTCTTCTTGACAGCTTTACACCTTCACCTCACAATTTTTACATCGGATGCAGTTTTCTCCAGGCTCCTTCCACTTCCTCCTCTCGGATCCAAATGTTCTCAGCGCCGTGTTCTTAAACACGCTGAATTTATATTTCCATTCCAGCGTTAGAGGTCAGGTTTCACAGGTATTCGAAACAAAAGGTAAAAAGTGTGGCTGTTTAGGTTTTTTAATAGATTGGAATACAGAAGATTCTGAACGGAATGGAAAATAGATGACTTTCGCTTCAGGCGTCTGTGATTTGTTCCCAATTTTAAAACCGGGCAGATCTAAAGTGACCATTACGTCGTTTTTTCGATGAAGAGTTGATTTTGCTGTTACTGCACTTGTATAGAAGACAAAATGGTGTTGGGCTGTCGAAGAAGCTGGGTGGTGTGGCGATCCCGTTGGCACTTCGTTGAGATTCCCGTACAGGCTGCTCATGGATTAGATTTCCTGTTCAAATTCCCTGCAAACAAGAAAAAGCACGGCTGTGCAGTGGTGCTGATTCTCCAGTTTTGTGGTCCTGCCGTGTGTCTAAAACATTGTCTCTGAATTGCAAACAAAACCCGTCGAATTGGCGTGATCCGTTTAATATAAACAACTGAACATGAACAATCTCATTTGTATGTTACAGAACTAAAAAGTAGATGGAACATTTCTTTGTCACTGTTTCTTTAAAAGTGGATTCTTTAGTTACTTTTTTTTTAAAGTCACAGGTAAAGTAATATTTTTATTTCCTTGGAAACTGATTTATTCCGATTCTTCTATAGGTAACGTAAACTAACCATGGAACATTGGCATGTACAACACTTTAATTCGAAAGAGATTGCTGTTAAATTAGTGAGGGATATTCCGAATTTCATCACGTTTAATTAATTTAATAGGCCTGTAGTATGCTACTGTTGTATCATACAAACCAGTTGTACATGTGAAACTTATTCTGTTCAGTGGATTTTAATTTGGGGACATTTTATTTTGTCTCTTGCCGGGTTTGGTCCATTACGTCTGAAGGAACTGATACTTTGATGCATTACGTCATACACAAATGCAGATCAGCCTGGCGGTTGCATTATTATGTCGTCAACGAGGCCTGTATGAACTTTAGGAGCTCGCTATTACAAACTTCTGTTAGGTTCGGTAAAGTAGACCGACCGCCCATCACGCAGCAGAACGTGTATGTACGTCACTGCGATGGTATAAATATAGGACTGTGTTGATGACACTAAGCAGAACGCTAGGGAGATTTATATAGCCACGATATCTGTGCTGGACACAGTCGTTCATCACTAATTTTTCAACGCGAAAGGTGTTAAATATTTACGAATACGCTGGAAAAATATAGCCTTTAAATTAAAAACGTTACCGTCTATCAGCCGATAGTTACAAAATACAGGATAC